TCTCTGAAAGAGGGCACAACAGGGATCATCACTGATTAGAAGTGCTGCATGGAGGTCAAAAGAGGTAACAGACCTGTTGGGTTTATAATGATCACAGCTTCATCCTTGACCATTTTCCTAGTTAAGAGGAATACTGATAAATTACAGCCATGCAAGACTAATTCATTGTGATGATAAAAATGGTGGTGGTAGTGGTGGTTAGGTGCTGTAGGTTCCAACTTATGGCTCCCCTGTATAGAGTTTCCAGGGCTGTCAATCTTTACTGGAGATGACTGCCTCATCATTCTCCCACCAAACAGCTGGTAGTTTTAAAGTGCTGATCTTGAGGTTAGTAGTCTGACTCATAACCACTACGCTACCAGAGCTTCTTGATGATAACAATTTTTGTTGTTTTTGTTAAGTGCCATCAAGTTGGTCCCGACCCATAGTGACCCTGTATAGGGTTTCCAAGGAGCAGCTGGTCAGCTTGAACCACCGACCTTGCAGTTCAAACGACTTTGCAGGCTGACACATTAGTCCACAGAGCCAAACCAGGACTCCACACAATAGAAGCTCGCAGTTACCAATCTCATTATGTAGGGCATATTTACTACTCCCACTGGAAAGGTGCTGTATCTTCAAATAAGAGATCACACAGGGAGTAAATTGGTAGAACCAAAATCATATTCTAGGTAGAATTCTAGACACTTTTATTTAGCAAATATACCTCTCTTTCACTCATTCTAATTGACAAGCTATTAACAAGCACACATTTTGTTAATTAACTTTATACTGTAGGTAACAAATCCAAAAGAATTGCCATAAAAGGAATGCAGTGATAATAATAATAATACTGAAAATAATGCTGATTATCCATTACAGAGCCTCTGGTTCATAGAGATTTCTAAAACTCATAAAAAGGCAATCATTTTTGTTAAGCGCAGTCGAGTGGATTCCAACCCATAGCGACCCTGTATAGGGCTTCCAAGGAAGAGCTGGTGAGCTTTCACCGCCAACCTTGTGGTTCTTTGCAGTCCAGCGCATTGATCCACATGGCCCCATGAGGACTCCATAAAAAGGCAGTATCAATGATCAAATATTTTTAAATAATAGTAATAATAATAATAAGGCACCTGGAGTTCCCTGTCACTTCAATAGGATATGTGAGACAACATTTAAGACTCAAATTATGAGATTAGGTGACTTAATTACTAGAATAAATGTTGCAGAGTAAGTGATACATGGGGATTAACAGAGAAAACTTATTTGAGTGTCTATATACTCGTGGAAGCAGCAGACAAGAGAGCAGACGA